ATGTTCTGATATTTGATTCAATTGTTGTTTAGCGAGTTGATTTAAATGACACAATGGTATTCTTTGTTTATAATTAAGAAATCATTCAATAATAACTCTCATCAATTTATCATCCTCAAATAGGATCCTGTGACTAGAAGAATGTTGCATATGTTATTCACCTCATTTGTCAAATTGCTTCACATTTCAAGTGATGATGTGTTTTTAACAGAACAAGAACAAAATTATGTACCTGGTCCTGTCTTTGTGTACAAGATAACAGAAGGGTCGTCTTTACGTTCATGGTGATTGGTACAGTGTGGTAGTACCACCGTGGCAGGTTTTAGCAGTTCTTGTGTCAGAGAACCCTCTACGACTGGAGTAATGACTACCTCACCCTCCCGTAGGGGAAGCTTAGGAGTATCATGAGTAAGGACGCGTAGAGTTACAACTGATCTCATCCCTCTTGGTATAGCTCCTTCGGGGATAGATACGACAATGCCAAATTCATCGATGGTCAGTTCTCCACCATTGTGATCAATTATTCCATGTGAGTTGAAAGGCATGTAGCTTGGTTGGCATTCCATGGCTTAGGAGGATAAGAAGGAAACAAGTCACCGATTATCCCCATATGAAACATGAAAACAAATATCAAGTTGTGCCAATTTGTGTTCATAGCTATTCAAAAAGCAGTCCCTATTTAGTGTTTTTACTGTAAAGCGATTGGGAAACAAGCGTGTAATAAGGAAAGTTTGATGGGGGGTTGAATGCATTTTAAACAAATCACCTTGGGTCAGGGTTTGATTCGAGTAAACAAAGAAGAAATCCCAAACGTTCCAAATTTATTTTCTTTGAACTCTGCTGTCTCTAATATATAATAGTTACTGTTTTGAAAAATATAAAATTATTAGCAAAACATCCGAGATGTTTCTCCACAATACAAACAAGTTATTTAGTGGCATAACGTGACTCTAAGGTCTGAAAATATACCTGGAAAAACGGATTATTTCCTTTCAATTTCGTGTTTACTCATCCAGCAACACGGTTCATGTTTATCTTATCTTAAAAAGAAGTTAAAAGTGCAAAAGCTCCTGTCGAATTAATGAATTTTCTCAATAGGGGCATGTTGGTTTCTTCTAAAGTAAGGCAATCGTAAGTAAACATGATGAATCTATCAAACTCTTTTTTTTTTTTACCTCACTGATCAAGTAAGCCTACGTACACCAGTCAATTCAATGTGAAACACAGTGGAGATGTGAAATGGCATTACCTTCTGCTATCTTGACCGCTGCATCGGTGAAACGAAAAGCCTGAGCAACTTCCAGAAGCCTCTCCCTAGTCCCACCTTGGTGTACCCACTCTTTAAGCATCTTCAGAGCACTACGGCCAATCATGTCAGGCGGGAAGGTCGACAATTGCAATGTGCTCATGATCTGCAAGACGCTAGACGGTTTAACACCCAGGCGATGACACAAGTTAAATAGGTCTGTCTTGGATCCAATGGCTTTTGAGATTTTTTCACTGCCTGAGGACACTGAAAAACAATGAAAATGTCAACGTGAAGGAAAAATTATCCAGGTTAATACGCATAGCATAATGATGGTGATAAATAGGTACATTAACGGCGTCTAAAAATGAAATAAACTGTAAAACAAAGATGAATGTAGGGATAAGTAAAGAAAACAAAATAATATCAATGATTTGTACATACATGTTAATCCAATTTTTACCTACTCACATTTTTCTGTATATCCTTCTTTAACGTAAACAAATGAAATCAATGGAATGTGAAAAAGAACTGAAATGCAAGTTTGAACTTAAAACATTTCTTTTAAAGGGTTCAAATTATATTTCCTTATCAACACGATTACGATTGAACTCAGCATTGTGACTCCAACGAACCTGTTTCGTCACCCAGGATGTTGAACTCCGAGAGAAGCTTAGCAAACTTATCTTCTTTTTCAACCTCTTTCAAATCATTCAACCAACTGTCTACGAGCTGTCGTGCGATCTTATGGAGTACTGACGAACTGGGTAGATCGATGAATCCAACAATGAGGTCAGCATTTAGACGAAGGGCTGTCCCAAGTTTACATACTGATGACAGACTTTTCACTAGTCCAGCTACACTGCAAAGCTCTTTTGGATCTGGTGTACCCCCACATTGGTCAAGGACATCATTAGTTTCACCTCGCTCTAAATCAAAATCAAACGATGCAAAATCATCTAAGAATTGGATTAATTTTCGTATCTAAGAATTGATATTTGACATAGATGTTGTTTTCTTCATATTTATCATACCCAATGGAATTGTCTTATACAAAAGTTAATGCTTATAATGCTATCCTTGTCCCAATCATATGATGTTATTATTTTGTTATCTACCTGTATCTGATGTTGTAATGGTATCCATATCTTCAGGCTCTATAGGCTCGCTTGGTTTGGCTCGTTTCTCAGGAGTCGCCGAAGAGGTCATACTCAAGCTTCCGTCTGAGAGAAAAATATATAAATATTAAACAGCATGTGTCTCATGGCTGCTGAGGATTTAGTTTTAACTATTTTGTGTACTACAAAAGATTAGTCCTATATCCTATATATTAGTGAGAGTAGATCATGCTCCGCCTTATCTCGTCTTATCTTGTGAGACAAGTTTTTGACACATCAAAATGACTGGTATGAATGACATTATCAGCCCTAATGGAAAGCCTTATCTTTCTAACTATTTTAAATATAAGCATATAAGGAGCTCTTATAGCGCAGTACAATATATACTTATTGTTGGATAGTTTCTGCGCTCCATAAATGTATTATTATTTATACCATAGACAAAGTGCAGTTAAGATTCTGTTCGTTTCTACATTTTTATTAGAATAAACAATTATATAATACACAATACAAACAAGTCATATAGCTATTATTTATTAACAATGAAGAAGACCGATTGCCTGTATTCTTAGCCGTAGATGCCCAGGAGACAGACTCCCAAATGCACTTCAACGTCTCAGTCGCTTTAGAATCTGATATTTGAGATGCCTTCCACGTGCAGAGCATTTGAACGTTAGCATCTTTGCGATTATGCAATGCCTTGTGTTTGATGTTTTCAAGCTTATTCCGACTGAATCCAAGCTTTGTGCCAATCTCCATGAAGTCCGTCCACTTGATTTGTCGAGCCACTTTAAGCAAGTCTTGGTCAGAAATGTCACTAAATATATTGAGAATAAGTGATGCTTAGAGACCTAGCAGATTTTAAAAAATGGGGGAGGGGGGGGGGGGGACTTGGTTAGTGAACTACTTTTCGACAGAATTTGTCATCCATACAATTTATGCTTTAACATTACGTTTCCTCACGATTTATCCAATCCTTTATATTTGTATCCCATTAATTTCCCTTTTTATCCCCCCCCCCAAAAAAAAATTCCCCATGCCTTTGCTCAGGTTATATGACTTGTATCATATTGCGTGCATGACATTTCACAAAATCTTTTATGAAATTTCAAGAATTAATACTATTTTCTGAATATTGTTTATTCATAATCATGATTTTTATGTAAATAGTTTTTTTAAATTCAAATTTGTCATGATTTAACTGAAAAATTTACTTTATATTTAAAGTGCATCCACGCAAAAACATATTACTTTCGATTAATGCTGGTGTAACGAAATAAGATTTTAGGAGGGAATTGGAAATTTACATTATCAATATAAAGAAAACAATTGGTGGATAGGTTGAGGCAATGGCGTCACAGACTCATAAGTGAGTTGCAAATTTCTCTGATTTCCAAAGCAAAATTCATAACTTTTTTTATTAGTTATCCGATTTTGCTCAAACTTGTTATGATTGGTGTTTGCCTGATTGTATTGCTTCTATTGAAAGTACGTTATTATAGAGGACTTGCCCTTTAATAATCTCTCTGAATGATAACCTGACTTTTGGTCCTGCGACATTTGGTCTGCATTTATTTCGTGAACAAAATTAAAAAACACCCACGGCTAAAATTTTGAGTAAGGGTTGAAGTAAGGTATCAGGTTTGATTTACAGTACAGGTTAATGACCCAAAACAATTCTTACCGAGTTGAAGTAATGTCTGAAGTACGGTGGGCCAATATAAAGGACGTCATTGTTGCATCAAAAAAGAAATTAAATATAGATAAATTAGTTTCCTCTGTATAATCACAAATGATTCAATAAAAATCTCTTTAATATGTATTTGAAAATATTGCTTCAATTTTGTTCTTCTCACAATGTCTTCCTTCCATAATTGGCCAATTCATTTTAAAAAAATGAATATTCGCGTTGAATGGTTCATGCTACTAATATCATCATAATTATCGTTATTATAATTTAATAGTATAACTTAATCAAAAGATTAGCACAGATATATATACACAGCTTAAAGCGCTATATATTTTGAGTCATCAGGCATTATGTCCGGTATGCTCAAGAGAATCTGCTGACAAATCTAAATGAGTAATAGTAAAACCTGTCATGTTCGTCTTTTCTGCCTCTGTTTCTGCAGACTTCAGGATTGAAAGAAGCACTTCCTTCACGTTTTGATTTGGTAGTTGTTTCTGTTTCCATGTTATCAACATTTCCCAGATTGCCTCTTGTCTGTCTTTGTGCCTCTTATACTCCATTGCATCCAGCTGTTGTATTGGGAAACCAAGTGCAACTCCCAAGTCATAATAGTCGTCTATCGAAAGCTTTTCAGCGATTTTGTGGACGTCTACATCAGGGAGATCATTTCGGGAAGTTCTTTCGATTTCTCTGTAAAAAAAATACAGGTAACTGTTTCTTCATTTTAGTTACTATGCATTTTTTGCAGGATGTTGCATTTCAAAATGTTAATGATCTTCCAAATAACATTTTAAAAAGGAAAAGAACATTACAAGGATATTGTAACGGACCAGCCCGTTACAGGTAGTTATCTTGCAGAAAACGTAGAGGGCAGTAAGCTTTTGGGGCGTAAGGGCTCAGAGCGCGATTACGGACGCACCATGCGTAAAGCAGCTCTCAGAGCGTCTCAGATGCTATAAATTGCGGTATCGAGCACGGATTTCGTCACTTCGACGCTGGCTCTCGTCTTGGTCAGATAGCGAACTCTCCGCTTTGCTCCAGCTGAGCTAAAGTAAGGAAAAGGACTGGAAGCGAGAAATAGAGTTCCTACAAAAGGCAATCCCTGCCTTTACTACTTGTGGAGATTAATACAGATAATTGGTGTCGGTGTTAACTATGATAACGTGTTGGAGAAGTTGACTTATGTTTGTATTAATAAAGTATACAGTTAAACAATCCATCGTTTCATAACGTGTAATTAGTTGAGTCTCCATAGACTGATGTAATATAATCCTCTCATAGAGAATTCACGTCCAGCTACTCAAAACACCTCTCATCTCCACACTCATATACTTTGGGAAAACGGAGCCACGTCAGGGCCTCTAAACTACAAGCCAAATAGAAACCGCTCGCATTATTCAGGATGGCAAATTCTTCGTCAGATGACGGTGATAGAGGCAAGGGACAGGCCAGCCCTCCAGCATCCAGGACCCGTTCTAGGATGGAGGGCCGTAACAATATGAATACCTTGTGTAAGATATCGAACCTCTTTGTGTCCGAGCATTGCGAGCATACAGATAAGCTTAAGTTCTGGCAATGATAGAAAATATATTCTCACAGAATCCAACAAAACTTACACTGAATGTTAACGATTACAAATTAATGACACGAAACAAACGATTTTAGTAGAAAATGTATAGGGGCTGATTAATGAGCATGGAAAGATGATGAAATCAAGGTAAGTAGGCCAGACACCATGTGATTGACACAGGTTACTTGTCCGCACATAAGAGTTGTGGGTTTTTATTGAAGATGATTTCTAGCAAAGTTTTGTGAGTTTTGTTTAATTTTACTGGTTCAAACAATTAATCTACTGCAGAATAAGCAATCCAGAATGAATTATAGCCATGTTCTCTCGACCTACAATGCCTATACCAGAGCTCAATATTAGCTTTAATATGACTAAATTGTAATATAACTTAGAGAAGACACCTCGAATGCACCTTAATATAACATAAATTTGTTTTTGAAAATGTGAATAGATTGATAACGACATGCTTACCGGATAACTGGAGTAAATTCAGGACTCTTGGTTTGATCTGCAATCATTTATAAAATGAAAGAGAGTTTTAAAAGAAAATGTGAAAACATTAAGACAATCTTTTTAATCATTATTAATCAAATACTTCTTAACATAAGAACTTTCCAAAAAGCTAATAAGTAAAGAATATCATAATATACCTCCGCAGGTTTATCTTTATATGAAACTGATAATTTATGTTAATTTTCCCGAGTAATACTTTCCTGTTAAGTCAAGTTTAAAATACAGGAAAGTAACAACCGGTGCTAAGAATGTTAAGGAAAATTAACTTGTAGATTAACAAAAAAACATGTATGAAAATAACGTTCATTATATCACGTTTAATCATAGCTCGTCAATAAAAAGAAAGTAAATACTAAACAATAGTCCATCTATCTTTATTGCAATACTGGGAATGATTAAAGATCGTAGACAAACCTTCGTATCTTATACTGAATGTCATTGATCGAGACATCCCTTGGTTCCCAGACTGTGTAAGTGTGATGGTTATCACGTCATATGGAGTATCGTCCTCACTCGGGGGCACTTTCAACACTACATTATGTCTCATTGGATGGTGAATTTTCTTCAGAGATATCAGCTAAACGAGGAGAAAATGAGATTATTAAGAAACGACAAACTGTTTTTCTTTCTGGACAGAAACCCCGAAAAGTAGCACGGAAAAGGGTTCTGTATCAGGGTGTGCGATTTTATGTTATTATTTGTATTCGTCATACTCTGTATCTGTTGTCCTATAAAAAGCGTCTCTTACTAAATAGTGGGGGAACGGCGCTGTCCGAAATTGGCCATTATTATTTGTTTGGCATTTTCAAATGTGTTGTATCAGGGGAAAGTTTGATAGTGTGTCCCTCTCGGAATAATTTTCCAGATTTCAGGCTTTAAGATATTCAGTAAAGATTTACAGCATTAAAATAAAAAGAATGATGTGTAAAAGATGCAAACATTTAGAAATTGGTCAATGGGAACCTCTCCAACACAACTGAGCTGTTGTTCTTTCTTTGCTATCGAAACATACATGTATACAGTATTTACCCTAAGGAGAATTCCCGCAACACAATTTTTCGTGGGCAATCACCGGCTACGGATAATTACACACAGGAAAATGCCTCCCTGGACAATTACCCCAGGACAATTACACCTACAATTTACAATTTTATCCGAAACTCTCCCCTCCCCTCCCCCCCCCCCGAGAATTTACTTCTTCACTTACATCGTTTGCACAATTTTGAAACCCGGTAGTTGATAGTCAGGCAGTAGACCTCAGTCACTAACACTTAATTATCTTGAGGGTAATTGTCCTTGAATGAGTTAATTGTTCTTGGGGTAATTGCCTTGGGAGGTAAATGTTCCGGTGATACTTTTCCTTGGGATAGTTGTCCTGGGTAATTGTCGCGGGGGTAAATTGTCCAGGGGTAGATGCCCGAGGGGGGGGGGGGTGAATTGTCCTGAAGCTAGTTGTCCGGATAAAACAAGAGCAATAAGCCAGTTCACGATTGCAGTCTGAGCATGAGCAGATAGAAGTCATTGCAGACCAACTTGTGAAATACACGGAGACAAAATACTGGATATTCGTGTCATGTGCTAACCGGGAACTTGTCGATTGTCGCTAGGCCAAAAGTCAGAATATCAAGCAGGGAGTTTATCAAAAGGGAAGTCGACCCTGATAATTAGCTGGTATTGATAAAAGCCGAAAAATTAAAGAAGCACACATATTACAAAGAGCCTTAGTTTAAGCGATGTCCAATTAACAAAAGGAAGTTATGAGCTTTTGAAATAATGGTATCAGTGATACATAAATTGGCAGTACTGTGGCGTTTCTTCCGAGGTTCTCACATTTCATGAACTTACATTATCTTAGTTATTGATAACGGAGTAGATTTGTTTTATACATGGATTGTTTAAAAACATATTTGCAATAATTGTACTTAGGGTGCACCAATGTCTGACATTTTATATAAGGAAAATAGACAGTTCTGATTTTGTTTGGGTAAAATACAGAGCAAATGAGAAGTGATCTCGAAAGATAGGTCACATAGTTACCAATTTGTGTACGATTGATCGTAAATTCAAATATTCTTAACGTTCTTGATTTTCATCGGCTCTTGCTCAAATTTCACTGTCCTGTTCTTTTCATTTTTCTGCTGGTACTACTATTAAATCCAACTTTATATCAGGGTGGACTTCCGCTTTAAGGACAAAACTGATTTTCGTACCTTAGTTTCTGCTATCCTCCCCTCACAATCACGTGCCACTGTGACGTCACCTGAATTAGATATGATGCTAAACGGGACCGAATGATGGGCCTTGCGGTACGACTGATGCTTCTCATCATGTAGAACTTCCTATTTCAAATCAGGGAGGACAAGCAATTGAGAAAAAACATGGGCCTAATAAATCGGAATGTTTTAGGATTCTCATGGAAATTTATCTCCACAACTTTGGGATGTACCCATGATTCACTTAACAACACTATTTGCACAATCTTTATCATGATTCAATTTAATTGAATTTCCATGGAATTTAAAAACATCAATTGGAGAAAATTGGGAGTTCACCTAACTTTTCTCAGAAAGCATTTCGGATTTAACACATAGGCCGGTGATGAATGATTCTTGAGGACATTAGGATGTCAATCCGTACTTAATCCTGGTACTATCCGAGAAAATTCAGCTTGTTACCAGCATTGTATAGGCTTTGGCACACAGGTCATGCTCGGAGTAATATTTTATGAAATTATATTTAAAGACATTTTTAAAGGCAAACCGCAATTTTAATCACACTGGTAGAAAATCGCATCATGTCTGGTGTATGCAAGCTGTGAGGCCTTGCACATAATAACCCCAGAAAGTCAGATTTTGAACAATCCTATAATCTTCCGGAAAATTGCAGTGGATGACAGTTTAAACTGAATTGAAAATTAACAATTTACTTATAGAACACTTTAATAGTACTAACCGTATCTATGCCAGGAACATCGGCATGTATGTGGAGATGAACTTCAATCTTTTTGCCTCTTTCTACGGTTTCTGGGATGTATGGAGTGCACATAAGTTGGTGTCGGATCACCTGCTGTTCAAGAGGAATAAGAACCCACCACTCAGCACAGTGACCAATATACAGCTCAAGATGCTCCTCGTACATTCTGCAGTATGGTAGTTTGGATGGTGAGCTGGATGATCTGTTTCTTGATGTTTTTGGTAGATCTGGTGTCAGTTGGTAACAAAAAAGACACGTTTGTTGTAACAATCACGCAACGGAGCCGATTTGTCCTTATAACTGTAACACCACAGATAAGTGAGCGCTGTCTAAGGACGAGGTTAGAGCTGGGACTGCTAACCCGGAGTTCAAGGTTCAAGCGTCTAGTTTGATTGTGTATATAATCTGTTTGAATTTATTAGTACCTGTAATGGAAACGCAGTACATATCATGGAATCGTATACTAAGATTTTTTTCCCTTCGTTTTCCCTGACCGCTTAGAAAGCAGCATATTTATAAACAAACAACAGTGAGAAAAACGACTTTATGTCCTCTTCGAGGGACTTGGTAAGTAATGCCTCATCAAAAGGCACAAGCACATCGACTTAATTTTAAACGCGAGACCTCCTGGATTCAGAATTAATCTCTTCCACTTAGCCATGTCGCTCCTCAGTGTTGCTCCGGAAGTGCTTTGATTGGGTTATGCTCAGTAAAAGGGATCTCGTGGCATCAATTACCGTTTACTGCAGCATTTAAAACTGGTAAGACTCAGCATGGACCTACTACGAATGGTTCAGGCACCTGAACAGATGGACTTACCGTTTACTGAATCCCATACTTTGGAAACGATGTATGGTTTAACTTGATCAGGGTTGATGGCTAAGGTAGAGTGTGGTATCCTTATCTTAACAGGTTTGTGAAAGATCATGTTAGGAGGATCGCATCTTATCCCGTAGCAGGCCACTGATTCATCATCTTGGATGTCATCACGTGGAGGGTCTCGTAAGAGGGCTAAAGTGATCCTGCACGGGTCACTCTGATGAACAGCCTCCGGAGGAATCAACATTGATACGCCAAGGCCTTCTAGTTCAATTTCTTGTCTGATATGTCTTTCGACTTCAGCAGAGACGATGGTAGGTGTTGATGGTTCATCTGATGTTTATTTCAAACATAACAAAATGAAAAGATAATATGAATAGATCAGATCAGATCAGGAAAGCCATCGAATAAAATACCAATACATTGCATATGAATATGGTTTTCATCGCAATCTGGTTCACAAAATGAATTAACTGTATTACCATTGTTACAAATGTTGGGTTTATTACAAATGTTGACTTAAATACCCAGAAGGAACATTCAATCCTGGTTTGTAATTAGGGCATATGCTAATTCAATATTCATTTCTCGTATTTGGATCATTTATGTAAACCTGTGACGTAGGGATACTTTGATACAAATGTAGAGTTCGTAAGGGGAAGGTGAGTGGGTTGTGTGTGGGAGTAAGTGACACAAACAATGAATGATTAAATTCCTTGTTCTTCTGGATGGAATAATTAATCATCGCCAGACTTCATTATCTGTATCTTAAAGGCAAACAATTTTTTTTGTTCGTACTCTGTTCTTATTTATAGTTATTGAATTTGTGTTCTTACCTCGAAAAGACGGGATCTCATCTAATGAAGCCAATCTGAGATTAATCATAAGTATGACAAACGTTAAGTCCTTTACTATGTGCTGTGAACACATGTATTCCTTTTTACTTATGAAAAAAATCACATAAATGATATTGGCATGGATTGAACCGCAGAGCTGTTGAATGTCACACACTTATCGAGACCCATTATTACAAAAAGAAACTCTAATTTTACATTGGGAACAGGAAGACGAAAATAACACGTATATCTATTTCTCCACCTGGTGATGCGGTATAATACAAATCTCGCAAATCCAGAAATTGAAAAAAATTCAGTTAGATAATATCTTCTAAACAAGTAATAGTAAAAAGAAAATATCTATATACTTTCTGTCTAAGTAGAGAGAAGAAAGGAAACATGAGATAGAGCAGTCCGCGACCTAATAGGTTTCACTTAGTAGCCCTGAACAAAGTAATAGTCACAATTGTCACGCATGTAATGATTGTATTTAATACTAATCTTTGTCTGCATTAGATTGGCGTGGGTGAGGCTGGGGTAGAGGCTGTTTGTTTTGTATGGTTTTGTTTCTTTTATCTTCGCTTAAAAACCTCAAATTTTCATTATTCGTACGTAGTTCATAATTAGGTGATGTAAATTGCTCTGTATATGTAATTCCTTTCTGTAATGAAACATCCATGTATTTAATTATGTTCACGAAATTGTTATTGACGTTTTTCTTAATGTCTGTTTATTATTTTGGAGGAATAAAACATTAACCAAAAAAGAGTGTGTGTGTGTGTGTGTATCATAATGAATATATATGTATGTGCGTGTGTGCGTGTGTGTGCGTGTATGTGTGTGTTCATTCTGTAATAAAGAGACAGAGTCTTACTTAAATATAATTCTGAACTGCGCGAAGGTTAAACAGTTATGACAATTCTGTATTCAATATTTCGGTTTGGCTGAATTAAGAGATAAGCAATGGGGAGATATATTCATGGGACTACCTGCAAACTGGAATAGAAATAAATGTGTGAATTATTTTGACATATTTATTAAATATGTAATTTTCCATTGCAGGGCTCAAGGCAATGTACCTTCCAGTGTGAAGATACACAAATATATAGCGGAATTTATAGAGGAAGAAAAATACTTTGCAGTAAAGGTAGGCAAGTTGAATTTGCAGCTACACAAGTTGGAAGAGCTTAAAGTGAATAAGGATATGAATGTGAACAGGCATGATGTGTCAAGTATTGTGCGCGTGTGAATCTGTGTACGTTTGTGAGGTGCGAGCTTGTGAGTGTGAATGTGATATTTTTTTAAGGAGTTAGGATGTTAGGTATGTGGTATAGTGTTCTATGTTTTGGGTGGATAAGTGTTGTGTTTTGCGTATTAAATTGGAGTGTTTTTGATGTGGTCTTGTGAGTAAGGATCATTGGCTGGAGTTCCAGTGTTGTGCGCGTATGAATCTGTGTATGTTTTGTGAGGTGCGAGTGACTGTTGAATGTTTACGGGGGGCGGGGGCGGTTAAGTAGTAGAAGGAGTGGAGGGGTGGGGTGCTTAGCGTTCATTGTATGAAAATATGTATTATTATCAGGTGGGCTGTATCTAATACAGACCACCTTATATTTTTGTTAAAATTGCTTTATTTTTATTATTTATTTATCAGGTGGGCTGTATCTAATACAGACCACCTTATAATTTTGTTAAAATTGTCTTTATTAATATTTATCAGGTGGGCTGTATATAATACAGATCACCTTATGTTTTCGTTAGAATTTTTTTCTTATTTCTAACCACTTTTTTGTTAGCACGATAACTTGAAAATAGCTCAATCAAATGCCTTGAAATTTGGCACACATATGTATAGGCATAAGGAAAGAGCACAATAAGGTTTTCAACCTTGACCTTGATTGATAACGTCATCCAGGCGCCATTTTGTGAAAATCAAAATATGATCATATCTTCATAACGAAAAGACATTTCTCATTCATATTTACCAGGATCAAGGTAAATATCAGTCCGGTCAATTTCACGTCAAAAAAACGTGAGCGTACGCCATTATTAGCAAAAGCATTTCATAAAGAATCGCGCGCACGCGCATGCGCGCGCGTTTTCGTTTGTCACGGCCGAACGCAAAATAATTCGTCCTAGATTTTTTTTTGACACAGTATTCCTTATGTTTTCCCGAACAATTTGATACCATGTTTATCTCTTTATGACCAGTAATAAGGGAATGAGCGTCCGTTCAAGATAAACGTCCAAACGCGCGTGCTCATGTAATACATAGCATATATGGGCAACAACATGCCTACACAAAACCCTTTTGACTCTTTGGGATGGACGGGAACCCTCAATTTGTTTCTTTTATATTCGGATAGAGTATGAGTCGGAGATGTGATTTCATGTCTCATTTGGCCATTAAGTATATCGTGTCATAATCATATTGACCTTGGAACTCAAAATACGAATTTGCATATTATGACGTCAGCATATTTATGGAAAATTGATTGTATCTCTGTAAATATCGATTGATTCTCTTCATAATATTAATATATTGTAGTTGAGGCAATTGTCTACAAGTTAACTGCATATTATTTTTCATTTTGATGACATCATCATAGTGAAAATTGCGATTAAATGTAACTTGACAAATTTTCTTAATTTGCGTGTTAAGCCTGTGGAAGGTGCCAATTTAGTTCAAATCATGGATCTACATGACATTAATCTTTGAGCACTATCTAGTTTATTTGGCTCTATGTTCTCACAAATTTTATTATGTTATAGCTGTGACTATGGGCTATAAGAGTTGTGTCTTTTATTTTTTGATCAGATGGTGGGATCATGTCGAAATTTTCAATTGAAAGTTAAATTCACAAATTTTGTAGAACATTGTAGGAATTATGCATATGTCAACTTTGTCCTATTTGTGAAATATAAACGTTAGCAGTTTTCTAGTATTCAAATTAAACAAGGAAACCCCTTTACTTTCTATACTTTACTGCCAGACATTATTGAGTGAATGGCCAATTCTTTTTCCTTTTGTAATAAAATACATTATATGAGCTTAAAGGGTACATGAGCATTTGTCCACATCAATAACCCACTTCTTGTAATGGCCCAAAATAATCCGATTGAATCTATGCGCAGCACAATCTAGGTAAACATGACGGGTAGAGCATTTCATGGAAGAAGATGAAATTGTGAAAATGCATTCTTCGTTATGTCAATTAGGGTCAAAGGTGTAACTGCTTATTGTATGGGGTCAATTGTCATATATCGTCTCAATCTATCTTCCATAGATCCATACTGGTCAATATACTACACAGTTGAAACTTTTCATATCGATAGACCTTAAAGGTAAAGGCCAGTTATGGTCATGCGATTGCATTGTAAAAGAAACGTTGTGGAATCGATCAGAAAATGTTGAGCATCTAGCATATAAGTATTGGTGTGTACTGCAATGTTTTGGAATCATCAAAATGATAACAAATTTGGCCCAGTCTACGTAAAGTTACAGGCACTGTACATAGAAAGATGTATATGGGACTATACGCACACGTGCGTTTATCTTTCACAGACCATGTAGATAAACTAATTTACCAAACATATCAATTAGTAGGCGGTTTCCCGGCAAAATTGTTATCATCACGTATTAGTCAAAACATATTCTTTCACATGATTGGTAATAAGAGCATCCATTTCATTTTTTGAAATTGGGGCGTTTCCAATACTGGTTTTTACCTTTAATAGGAAGAGCATTTTAGAAGATAATATAAAATCGTGAAAATACATTCTTCATTATTTAAAACATTAGCATACGTATAACCTAAATTATCAAAGTGACAAATTCAAGTTATTATTATTCACATTCATTATTCTGCCGTGCCATTATTTTGTTCGCAGGATATCTCATGAATGAATGAAGCCATTATCATGAAACTTGCCATGATGATTAATATTAGCATAACTTAGAATTGTGACACTTTTCAATAACTCAAAATCATTGTGACGTCATCCAGGCGCTATTTTGTGGAAATCAACTTTGAATCTTATCTTCATAACGAGTCATCAAAACTGAACCATATTTAAAACACATGAACTTCAGGTCAAAGTTCGACATAACATCTCATCAAAATCCGCGCGCGTCTGAATTTTAAAATGCTCAAATTCACTTTTTAATCAAAACAGAGTATGTTCTAGGCCATTTAAAGAATTTCGAAAATTATGCACGCATGTTTTTGCGTGTAACGCCATTACACAACAAAGAAACGCAATTTTTTGTTCTTTCATGATACTTCATAACGGAGTGCGCGTCCGTTTAAGATAAATTGCCGTGCGCACGAGCACATGTAATACATAGCATATATAGGCAAAAACATGATTACAAAAAATCCATCACAGCTCCTTGGGATGCACTTAGACCCCCAATTGTTCTTTTATTTTGATTATATGAGTCGGAGATATGATTTCATTTCTCATTTGGCCATTAAGTACATTTTAACGTCATCATAATGGCCTTGGAAGTCAAAATACGAATTTGCATATTATGACGTCAACATATTTACAGAAACTGATTGTATCTCTGCAAATATTGATCAATTTTCTTCTAAATTGTGATACGTTGTAGCTGAGACAATTCTTCACAAGATTATTACCCATATTTATTCATTTTGATGACGTCATTAGATTGTTTGCTTAATATGCGTCTTATGCCTATGGGAGGTGAATGATACTACATTCCAGTCTAGACTTGTTCATTATGTTGCGTATGTAGTGCGTCGAAATATCAGTTCAATGATTGGTAGGCTCTGCAATCAGGCGAAAATTTGGGCTTGTTTAGTAAATTAATAGTTTAATCATATAACAATTGTCTATCGAATACCTGAAGGGGGCGCTATACCACTTTTAATCATTGTCATCGTCATTTAAAACAAATAAATCATCATCATCAATATCTTTATTATCGTATTTATGAATATTATCATTAGATCATCATCGGCACACTTTCATGATACAAAAATAGCATACGTTTCACCTAATTCGTCAAAGT